CCTTGCTCCTGTGACCCCTTGTTGCTGTGACCCCTTGTTGCTGTGACTCCTTGATCCTGTGACCCCTTGTTGCTGTGACTCCTTGTTGCTGTGACTCCTTGTTGCTGTGACCCCTTGTTGCTGTGACTCCTTGTTGCTGTGACTCCTTGTTGCTGTGACCCCTTGTTGCTGTGACCCCTTGTTGCTGTGACTCCCTGTTGCTGTGACTCCTTGTTGCTGTGACCCCTTCTTGCTGTGATCCCTTGCTCCTGTGACTCCTTGTTGCTGTGACTCCTTGTTGCTGTGACCCCTTGCTCCTGTGACCCCTTGCTGTGATCCCTTGCTCCTGTGACCCCTTGTTGCTGTGACCCCTTGCTGCTGTAACCCCTTGATCCTGTGACCCCTTGCTCCTGTGACCCTTGGTTGTGACCCCTTGTTGCTGTGACTCCTTGTTGCTGTGACTCCTTGTTGCTGTGACCCCTTGCTCCTGTGACCCCTTCTTGCTGTGATCCCTTGCTCCTGTGACCCCTTGTTGCTGTGACCCCTTGCTGCTGTGACCCCTTGATCCTGTGACCCCTTGATCCTGTGACCCCTTGCTCCTGTGACCCCTTGTTGTTGTGATCCCTTGCTCTTGTAACCCCTTGCTCCTGTGACCTTGTTGCTGTGGCCCCTTGTTTCTGTGACCCTTTCTGTGACCCCCCCCCTGCCATACCTGTGCTTGCAGCTGCGTGCTGAACCTAAACATGTGTTTGCCTGATCTAAATCTGTGTACATGTGTACACAGCGTCTGGATTAGTGTACACGATCTGAGGATGGGAAAACTCCCCCCACCCCACACACACACACACACACACACACACACACACACACACACACACAGTTCGAGTTGAGGACCGAGAGATAGAGCTTATCAATGGGAAACACACACCTGTCCACAACGTCCACTACCTGTAGCTGGGTTGGTAGCTCACTTAGCTCACACACTGAGTTCCGTGGTTCGATCCTCGGTACGGGTGGAAACGTAAGGACGTGTTTCCTTAAGACATCTGCTGTCACTGTTCACCTAGCAGTAAGTAGGTACCTGGGTGTTAGTCACCTTACACCTCCTGACCATGTTCACCTAGCAGTAAATAGGTACCTGGGTGTTAGTAGACCGGTGTGGGTGGCATCCTGGGGACAAAATTAACCTAAGTTGTCGGAAATGCTCTATATAACCAGGGACGTTCTATGCAGTATGTCACTGGTGTCAACTATGGTCTGTATAAGTTGTATCAAGTACTGGTAGAAATAAATATTATTATTATTATTATTATTATTATTATTATTATTATTATTATTATTATTATTATTAAGATTGGTACTCTGGGTGAAGAGTGGAAGCGAAAAGTGCTTGAGAGAGAAGTCAGGGGTCGTCGACCCCTGACCCCAGCCACCCTGACCTCCCCTGACCCCTATTAAAATATGTATAGAAAGGGGACAAACATCACCCGCTACATCTCAGAATTAAAAAAAAAAGACCTGATGTTTCGTATACATCTCTTAGTATGTATATGTAGCAACACTGACTGATGTTGTAGTGGCCAGACTTAGGCTTGGTTACAAGTACTGACTGATGTTGTAGTGGCCAGACTTAGGCTTGGTTACAAGTACTGACCGATGTTGTAGTGGCCAGACTTAGGCTTGGTTACAAGTACTGACCGATGTTGTAGTGGCCAGACTTAGGCTTGGTTACAAGTACTGACTGATGTTGTAGTGGCCAGACTTAGGCTTGGTTACAAGTACTGACTGATGTTGTAGTGGCCAGACTTAGGCTTGGTTACAAGTACTGACTGATGTTGTAGTGGCCAGACTTAGGCTTGGTTACAAGTACTGACTGATGTTGTAGTGGCCAGACTTAGGCTTGGTTACAAGTACTGGACTGATGTTGTAGTGGCCAGACTTAGGCTTGGTTACAAGTACTGACTGATGTTGTAGTGGCCAGACTTAGGCTTGGTTACAAGTACTGACTGATGTTGTAGTGGCCAGACTTAGGCTTGGTTACAAGTACTGACTGATGTTGTAGTGGCCAGACTTAGGCTTGGTTACAAAGTACTGACTGATGTTTGTAGTGGCCAGACTTAGGCTTGGTTACAAGTACTGACTGATGTTGTAGTGGCCAGGCTTAGGCTTGGTTACAAGTACTGACTGATGTTGTAGTGGCCAGACTTAGGCTTGGTTACAAGTACTGACTGATGTTGTAGTGGCCAGACTTAGGCTTGGTTACAAGTACTGACTGATGTTGTAGTGGCCAGACTTAGGCTTGGTTACAAGTACTGACTGATGTTGTAGTGGCCAGACTTAGGCTTGGTTACAAGTACTGACTGATGTTGTAGTGGCCAGACTTAGGCTTGGTTACAAGTACTGACTGATGTTGTAGTGGCCAGACTTAGGCTTGGTTACAAGTACTGACTGATGTTGTAGTGGCCAGACTTAGGCTTGGTTACAAGTACTGACTGATGTTGTAGTGGCCAGACTTAGGCTTGGTTACAAGTACTGACTGATGTTGTAGTGGCCAGACTTAGGCTTGGTTACAAGTACTGACTGATGTTGTAGTGGCCAGACTTAGGCTTGGTTACAAGTACTGACTGATGTTGTAGTGGCCAGACTTAGGCTTGGTTACAAGTACTGACTGATGTTGTAGTGGCCAGACTTAGGCTTGGTTACAAGTACTGACTGATGTTGTAGTGGCCAGACTTAGGCTTGGTTACAAGTACTGACTGATGTTGTAGTGGCCAGACTTAGGCTTGGTTACAAGTACTGACTGATGTTGTAGTGGCCAGACTTAGGCTTGGTTACAAGTACTGACTGATGTTGTAGTGGCCAGGATTAGGCTTGGTTACAAGTACTGACTGATGTTGTAGTGGCCAGACTTAGGCTTGGTTACAAGTACTGACTGATGTTGTAGTGGCCAGACTTAGGCTTGGTTACAAGTACTGACTGATGTTGTAGTGGCCAGACTTAGGCTTGGTTACAAGTACTGACTGATGTTGTAGTGGCCAGACTTAGGCTTGGTTACAAGTACTGACTGATGTTGTAGTGGCCAGACTTAGGCTTGGTTACAAGTACTGACTGATGTTGTAGTGGCCAGACTTAGGCTTGGTTACAAGTACTGACTGATGTTGTAGTGGCCAGGCTTAGGCTTGGTTACAAGTACTGACTGATGTTGTAGTGGCCAGACTTAGGCTTGGTTACAAGTACTGACTGATGTTGTAGTGGCCAGACTTAGGCTTGGTTACAAGTACTGACTGATGTTGTAGTGGCCAGACTTAGGCTTGGTTACAAGTACTGACTGATGTTGTAGTGGCCAGACTTAGGCTTGGTTACAAGTACTGACTGATGTTGTAGTGGCCAGACTTAGGCTTGGTTACAAGTACTGACTGATGTTTGTAGTGGCCAGACTTAGGCTTGGTTACAAGTACTGACTGATGTTGTAGTGGCCAGACTTAGGCTTGGTTACAAGTACTGACTGATGTTGTAGTGGCCAGACTTAGGCTTGGTTACAAGTACTGACTGATGTTGTAGTGGCCAGACTTAGGCTTGGTTACAAGTACTGACTGATGTTGTAGTGGCCAGACTTAGGCTTGGTTACAAGTACTGACTGATGTTGTAGTGGCCAGGCTTAGGCTTGGTTACAAGTACTGACTGATGTTGTAGTGGCCAGCTTAGGCTTGGTTACAAGTACTGACTGATGTTGTAGTGGCCAGACTTAGGCATGGTTACAAGTACTGACTGATGTTGTAGTGGCCAGACTTAGGCTTGGTTACAAGTACTGACTGATGTTGTAGTGGCCAGACTTAGGCTTGGTTACAAGTACTGACTGATGATGTAGTGGCCAGACTTAGGCTTGGTTACAAGTACTGATGATGTTGTAGTGGCCAGACTTTAGGCTTGGTTACATGTACTTGACTGATGTTGTAGTGGCCAGACTTAGGCTTGGTTACAAGTACTGACTGATGTTGTAGTGGCCAGACTTAGGCTTGGTTACAAGTACTGACTGATGTTGTAGTGGCCAGACTTAGCTTGGTTACAAGTACTGACTGATGATGTAGTGGCCAGACTTAGGCTTGGTTACAAGTACTGACTGATGTTGTAGTGGCCAGACTTAGGCTTGGTTACAAGTACTGACTGATGTTGTAGTGGCCAGACTTAGGCTTGGTTACAAGTACTGACTGATGTTGTAGTGGCCAGCTGTAGGCTTGGTTACAAGTACTGACATGTTGTAGTGGCTAGGCTTAGGCTTGGTTACAAGTACTGACATGTTGTAGTGGCTAGGCTTAGGCTTGGTTACAAGTACTTCTGGCAGTTTGGGAGACACACAGATGATGATCAAACTAAATGTAAATTATGTGATCAGGCATATGGTCACTCTCTTGAACACTATGTGCTTAATTGTCCACTTATTGAGGAATACAGAGACAGACAGTATAATAACCTATGTGACATGTCAAGATATCTTATTAATGAAAATAAGATACCAGATATACTAAGCAAATTTCCTAAATTTGCTTGTAACAGACAAGTGAACTGTAGATATGTAAATATAAATCCATATGTATTCCTTTTAACCCTCTGAGGCCTAGTTCCTGGGCCTTTTGTGTATCCATATGCTCTTGCGCTACCGTCCACAGGATGGATATGGGGTGCACAATAAACTAGCCACTTCGGTGGCAAAATCTAAAATCTAATTAACACAGCCTACAACCGCAGCCAAACACATTTCCCTCTCAGCCTTCTGATAATGACCAGGGCGAAACGTGTTTTTTCCCACGAAATTGAATGGAAAACATCAGTACTCGAGTGGTAGGGAGGCATGTGTGATGAGAGAAACGTTACAGTGAACGAAACGTCACAGCGAGAGAAAAGTTTGATATAGCACGTTTCGCCCACAATAAGGCTTGATATAGTAAACTGTGGGTGAGGAGAGGAATCTGTGAGGGTGGAGAGAAAGTTGTGAGGATGTAGGTAGGGTTCAATACACATACCGTAGAAGTAGGGCTCCTGAGTAAGTGTCCAGATGAATCTCTTCCTCATCTCGTGTTCCTGTAGAGGTGAAGGCGATCCTGTAGGTGACACACCATCATGTTACCACTACTGCTGTAGCATCTCCTACCTCCTCCTCCTCCTCCAGCTTCCTTCCCTCTTTACCCTTTTGGCTGATTTCGCTTTTCTCAACCTTCCTCACACATCTCACCCCTGAAGCTACAACACAGCCTTACTGGTACAGTTGTGGCCACACACACACGGGACCAGGAGCTCTGGTTCGACCCTTACAACCACATTGTCGTAAATATGCTATAATTTTCCTGTAATTAGTAATGTGTATCGGAAGTGTAAACATAATATAAGCATGAAGTGTGAATGGTAGTTACAAGCTGTCAAACTACTTGTGAGGAAGTGAGTGTGTGATTCCAACTGTGTGGTTGAGGTGTTGTGTAGAGGGTAGAGGCAGTGTTGGTGATACGAGTGTGGAAGGCTTGTGTAGACGGCAGTGTTGGTGACACGAATGTTGAAGGCTTGTGTAGACGGCAGTGTTGGTGACACGAATGTTGAAGGCTTGTGTAGACGGCAGTGTTGGTGACACGAGTGTTGAAGGCTAGTGTAGACGGCAGTGTTGGTGACACGAATGTTGAAGGCTTGTGTAGACGGCAGTGTTGGTGACACGAATGTTGAAGGCTTGTGTAGACGGCAGTGTTATTGACAGGAGTGTTGAAGGCTTGTGTAGACGGCAGTGTTGGTGACACGTGTTGAAGGCTAGTGTAGACGGCAGTGTTGGTGACACGAATGTTGAAGGCTTGTGTAGACGGCAGTGTTGGTGACATGGGTGTGTAAGGCTGACTGCTGGTCGTCTCTACTTTTTTTTTTTTTTTTTTTTTGGCCCGAGGGGAGAGGTCATAAAAGGAAACTGAATTTGAACGATTATGGCTTGGATGGCCGTCCTGAGAGGTGGATTTAGTTCTCTCAAGGAATTTGGAAATCGGCCGAATCTTCAAACGAAATTAACGAAGGTGTAATAGAAGCGGTATCGTCAGAAACTGATAAAGTTCGCACCACATGTAATGTCCGCCTCTCGGTTTACTTGGAGAGGGTTCAGGAGATCGACATCCCCGCGGCTCGGAATGAGACCAGACCTCATGGTGCATCAGAGTCTGATCTCACGATAGGTATGTTAATTTATATTTATCATGCACCCCTTACCCATGCTGTGGGTAGTAGTCAAAATATTAAAAAGGTACATAATGGGTCCAGGGACTGGATCCCAAAGTTTTGATAGTTACAAAGGCTGTGGGAAGTTATCCCCTCATGGAAGGTTCCTTGATGTTGGTGAGGGGCTCTTGATTTAGGGAATTGGAACTGTGCTCCAGTTCCCCGAATTAAGCCTGAATGCCTTCCACATCCCCCCCCCCGGGCGCTGTATAATCCTACGGGTTTAGCGCTTCCCCTTTGATTATAATAATAATAATAATGTGGGAAGTTATTTTACGGATCGTTTTATAGCACATAAGCTTTAAGAGCCCTTAACACATACACTTACATTATATTTGTACATAATATTTGTCCTAGGAAGGTTTACGTAGTTACACGAATTAGAAAATAATCGTAGGAATTATTAACACAGTTTTAGGACCTAAAATAGGTAGGATTATGTTTAATATAGAATATCAATTAGAGAACTGACGACTCAAATTTCAAACTAAGACGCTGGTCAGTTGCACCTCAGACATCAACGGGAGAAGTCACGACGTGATTACAGCCAGACAAATGGCGTTAATACACCTAGCTGGGAACTAAATAACCTTGAGCAGTTTCCCAAAGTATAGGATACTTGTCCCTACCAGACAGCAGTGAATACCTACAATTCCTAGCAGCTAATTGACCGACGTTCCTGGGGAAGAAATAGTAATCTGTGAGTATCAAGTCACTGGAAAAGGAACTTCATCTCCACGGTGTCCTGAGGGTCTGGAAACATCTAATTCTACAACACCAAGTGAGTTAGCTCTACATTTTGTATATTCTCACGTCAGGAATAGTAATTGTAGATAGTTGTAGTATTCATCAGTCTGGGAGAATTATCTGAGGCATCACTGGTAAGTTTGTCGATCATTTACATCCAGTTCCCAGTCCAGTTTCCAGGAAGGTGATGACCTCCAGGTAGATCTGGTCACAGTCCACCATGAGGCGTGGTCTCAGACCGAGCTGTGGGGGCGTTGACCCCCGCAACCCTCTCCAGGTAATGATGACCAAGTTACAAAGGTAATGACCTCCAGGTAAATGTGGTCACAATCATGACCAAGTTACAAAGGTAATGACCTCCAGGTAGACCTGGTCACAATCATGACCAAGTTACAAAGGTAATGACCTCCAGGTAGACCTGGTCACAATCATGACCAAGTTACAAAGGTAATGACCTCCAGGTAGACCTGGTCACAATCATGACCAAGTTACAAAGGTAATGACCTCCAGGTAGACCTGGTCACAATCATGACCAAGTTACAAAGGTAATGACCTCCAGGTAGACCTGGTCACAATCATGACCAAGTTACAAAGGTAATGACCCAGGTAGATCTGGTCACAATTATGACCAAGTTACAAAGGTAATGACCCAGGTAGATCTGGTCACAATCATGACCAAGTTACAAAGGTAATGACCCAGGTAGATCTGGTCACAATCATGACCAAGTTACAAAGGTAATGACCCAGGTAGATCTGGTCACAATTATGACCAAGTTACAAAGGTAATGACCCAGGTAGATCTGGTCACAATCATGACCAAGTTACAAAGGTAATGAATCGTCTCCACGTTTATACATGGTTACAATCATTAACAAATTACAAAGTAATGAGTCATTCACACGTTCATACCCGGTAATAACTGTGATGAGTTATTAGTGCGAATATTAACCGAGTAACACACGTACGTACGTGGTAATGCTTTATTTACAGCTAGCAAAGTCAGGGTATTTCTCCAGAATGGTCTGCAATATACCACTGTGGATAAAATACTTTGCCATTTCTTGAACATTTCTGAGTGAGTTGTTTCTAAATTCATTAATTTGATCACATTCCAGTACATAATGACGCAAGGTGTGACAATAGTCCATCTGGCAAAGTTTACATTTCGTTTGGTCTACATCTGGTGGTGGTGATTTAACCTGCCAAAGATACTTGTAACCCAGCCGGAGCCGGGCAGTAGTGACATCCAAGAGTCTGCTTATTTTGTTGGATGCACCATAGACATGTCTCTCCTCCTGCATGATAGTAATGATAGATGGACTGACTTGTGTCAATCTCCCTAAATCTTTAGTCAATAAAGTTCACTTGAAGTTCTTTACGTATTATTGTTCTCAAACTGCTAACTGACAACCCAAGATCGTAATGTACTCCCTCTTTGTTAGCATAACAGCTTAGCCAATTTATCAGTTCTATCATGCATCTGAAGACCAATGTGAGATGGAATCCACAGCATGTGCACTCTGACTCCACTGTCCACAATCCTACCATACCTGTGTCTGGCTTCTGACACAAGCATGCCACAATTTATACTTAATGAGTTGAGAGCATTTATGGATGACAGAGAATCATTTACAATTAAACTGTCAACCTTAGATACATGGACGCACTTCAGTGCAAGGAGTATGGTAAACAGTTCTGTCTGAAGGGTAGAGGCCCAGTTATTGATGCGTGCTCCAATTTCTTTGAGAGTCATCACTGTATGACAACAGGAGTACTACCAGCTGCACCAGTGACTTAAGAAATCGTAATGACACGATTGCAAATAAACCATACCCCCGGCCGGGATTGAACCCGCGGTCATAGAGTCTCAAAACTCCAGCCCGTCGCGCTAGCGCGACGGGCTGGAGTTTTGAGACTCTATGACCGCGGGTTCAATCCCGGCCGGGGGTATGGTTTAGCTGCACCAGTGTACCACAACAGCAGCACTACCAGCTGCACCAGTGTACCACAACAGCAGCACTACCAGCTGCACCAGCGTACCACAACAGCAGCAGCACTACCGGCTGCACCAGTGTACCACAACAGCAGCACTACCGGCTGCACCAGTGTACCACAACAGCAGCACTACCAGCTGCACCAGCGTACCACAACAGCAGCACTACCAGCTGCACCAGCGTACCACAACAGCAGCACTACCGGCTGCACCAGCGTACCACAACAGCAGCACTACCGGCTGCACCAGCGTACCACAACAGCAGCACTACCGGCTGCACCAGCGTACCACAACAGCAGCACTACCAGCTGCACCAGTGGATTGGTGAACAGAACCATTAACGTAAATAACTTGTGTAAGAGTGTGCTGTGTGACTGTTATCAGTACAGCTTAAGGCATTGTTTGACTTCAAGGCGAAGCTTTGGTTGTGATTTAAGTATTTTAAGGGGAAATGGAGGAATGGTAGTTTGGAATGGGGTAATATCCCATGGAGCAGAGAAGTGCCGATGTTGCCTTGACATAGATCATGTAGCTGGTTCATGCGGAGGTCGGTTCCAGTTTTTTGGATCCATCTGGAGGGATGTTCACCAGTGCTGAGGAAAGTTTGGAGGGCTTCTGTGCAGGGATTTAATCCCCTCGAAACACCTTCCAGGTGCACTCCAGATATACCCTCTCTTATATATCTTACCTTGTATAACCTTCATTATATAGTTCTGTGGCTCTGTCTAGCTTCCTTTATTGAAGCATTATTGTTTCTCTCTCTCTCTCTCTCTCTCTCTCTCTCTCTCTCTCTCTCTCTGTGTCCTTGATGACTATTTTCATTGTGATGTTCTCTGTCTCTGTTGGTTTCTCCCTGCCTCTATCTCCCTCCTTTGCTTTTTCACCCTTCTTTCCCTCCCTCCCACCATCCCTCCCTCCTCCCTCGGTGTCTGATTAATGTCTGTGTTTAGTTGGCAAAGTTGGCACTGGGGGTGGCACTCAGTGGCACTTGTGACGCCCTTCTTGAAGAGTGGGGGCGGTGTGTGGGTGGCACTTGTGGGTGTGGGTGGCACTGGTGTGTGTGGGTGGCGCTGGTGTGTGTGGGGGCGGGACCAGTATGTGAGCGAAGGCCCTGGG